CCCTCACTCCCGACATGCAGCCCCCCCGGCTCCGCCTGCGCCCCTCACTCCCGACCCGCAGCCACCACCCCCGGCTCCGCCTGCGCCCCTCACTCCCGACATGCAGCCACCCCCCCCCCGGCTCCGCCTGCGCCCCTCACTCCCGACATGCAGCCCCCCCGGCTCCGCCTGCGCCCCCTCACTCCCGACATGCAGCCCCCCCCCCCCGGCTCCGCCTGCGCCCCTCACTCCCGACATGCAGCCCCCCCCGGGCCGGCCGGCGCCCCTCACTCCCGACCCGCAGCCCCCCCCCCCGGCTCCGCCTGCGCCCCTCACTCCCGACATGCAGCCCCCCCCGGGCCGGCCGGCGCCCCTCACTCCCGACATGCAGCCCCCCCCGGCTCCGCCTGCGCCCCTCACTCCCGACATGCAGCCCCCCCCGGCTCCGCCTGCGCCCCTCACTCCCGACATGCAGCCCCCCCCCCGGCTCCGCCTGCGCCCCTCACTCCCGACATGCAGCCCCCCCCCCCCCGCGGCTCGGCCGGCGCCCCTCACTCCCGACATGCAGCCCCCCCCCCGGCTCCGCCTGCGCCCCTCACTCCCGACATGCAGCCCCCCCCCGGCTCCGCCTGCGCCCCTCACTCCCGGCCCGCAGCCCCTCCCCCCGGCTCGGCCGGCGCCCCTCACTCCCGGCCCGCAGCCCCCCCGGCTCGGCCGGCGCCCCTCACTCCCGACATGCCCCCCCCCGGCTAGGCCGGCGCCCCTCACTCCCGACATGCAGCCCCCCCTGGCTCCGCCTGCGCCCCTCACTCCCGACATGCAGCCCCCCCCGGCTCGGCCGGCGCCCCTCACTCCCGGCCCGTAGCCCCCCCCCCCGGCTCGGCCGGCGCCCCTCACTCCCGGCCCGTAGCCCCCCCCCCCGGCTCGGCCGGCGCCCCTCACTCCCGGCCCGTAGCCCCCCCCGGCTTGGCCGGCGCCCCCTCACTCCCGACCCGCAGCCCCCCCCGGCTCCGCCGGTGCCCCTCACTCCCGACCCGCAGCTCCCCTCCTCTCTGCCGGTGCCCCTCACTCCCGACCCGCAGCTCCCCCCCGTCTCTGCCGGTGCCCCTCACTCCCGACCCACAATCGCCTCTCCACACTGGGCAGGAAAATGGACCTGGGAGTGGAACCCAGGAGTCCTGGTCTGTCTCGCCCCTGAGTGTCTCATCGCGATTGTACCCTCCCGATGCCCCCTGGCGGAGAGGCCGGGGCGCATTATCCCCTCCTACAGAGAGGGAACCAGAGGCACAGAAACCCAGCGGATGCTCCTTTTCCAGGGGCTGTTCCAGGGCAGGCAACAGAAGTTGGGTTCCTCAGGCCCTGGACCAGAGTCCCCTAACACCCACCCGGAGCCCCTGAAGAATTGGCTCCGTGAGCTGGCAGCAGTAGTAGGTTGTTATCCTGCTCCAGCTGGGATGGCTGCAAAGGGAAGGTGGGGAGAGGTAGGAGGGATTGTGGGTAAATTCAGGGCTGGAGGAATGGGGAATAGCAGCGCCCTCAGCCGGGGACAGGGATCTCTGGTCTATTGAATCACAGAAGATCAGGGTTGTAAGAGGCCTCAGGAGGTTCTAGTCCAACCCCCTGCTCAAAGCAGGACCAACCCCAACTAAATCATCCCAGCCAGGGCTTTGTCAAGCTGGGCCTTAAAAACCGCGAAGGAAGGAGATTCCACCACTTCCCTCAGAAACCCATTCCAGTGCTTCACCACCCTCCTAGTGAAATAGGTTTCCCTAATATCCAACCTAAACCTCCCCCACTGCAACCTGAGACCATCACTCCTTGTTCTGTCATCTGCCACCACTGAGAACAGCCCAGCTCCATCCCCTTTGGAGCCCCCCTTCAGGGAATCATAGAATCATAGAATGTAAGGGTTGGAAGGGACCCCAGAAGGTCATCTAGTCCAACCCCCTGCTCGAAGCAGGACCAATTCCCAGTTAAATCATCCCAGCCAGGGCTTTGTCAAGCCTGACCTTAAAAACCTCTAAGGAAGGAGATTCTACCACCTCCCTAGGTAACGCATTCCAGTGTTTCACCACCCTCTTAGTGAAAAAGTTTTTCCTAATATCCAATCTAAACCTCCCCCACTGCAGCTTGAGACCATTACTCCTCGTTCTGTCATCTGCTACCATTGAGAACAGTCTAGAGCCATCCTCTTTGGAACCCCCCTTTCAGGTAGTTGAAAGCAGCTATCAAATCCCCCCTCATTCTTCTCTTCTGCAGGCTAAACAATCCCAGCTCCCTCAGCCTCTCCTCATAACTCATGTGTTCCAGACCCCTAATCATTTTTGTTGCCCTTCGCTGGACTGTCTCCAATTTATCCACATCCTTCTTGAAGTGTGGGGCCCAAAACTGGACACAGTACTCCAGATGAGGCCTCACCAATGTCGAATAGAGGGGAACGATCACGTCCCTCGATCTGCTCGCTATGCCCCTACTTATACATCCCAAAATGCCATTGGCCTTCTTGGCAACAAGGGCACACTGCTGACTCATATCCAGCTTCTCGTCCACTGTCACCCCTAGGTCCTTTTCTGTAGAACTGCTGCCTAGCCATTCGGTCCCTAGTCTGTAGCGGTGCATTGGGTTCTTCCGTCCTAAGTGCAGGACCCTGCACTTATCCTTATTGAACCTCATCAGATTTCTTTTGGCCCAATCCTCCAATTTGTCTAGGTCCTTCTGTATCCTATCCCTCCCCTCCAGCGTATCTACCACTCCTCCCAGTTTAGTATCATCCGCAAATTTGCTGAGAGTGCAATCCACACCATCCTCCAGATCATTTATGAAGATATTGAACAAAACCGGCCCCAGGACCGACCCTTGGGGCACTCCACTTGATACCGGCTGCCAACTAGACATGGAGCCATTGATAACTACCCGTTGAGCCCGACAATCTAGCCAACTTTCTACCCACCTTATAGTGCATTCATCCAGCCCATACTTCCTTAACTTGCTGACAAGAATACTGTGGGAGACTGTGTCAAAAGCTTTGCTAAAGTCAAGAAACAATACATCCACTGCTTTCCCTTCATCCACAGAACCAGTAATCTCATCATAGAAGGCGATTAGATTAGTCAGGCATGACCTTCCCTTGGTGAATCCATGCTGGCTGTTCCTGATCACTTTCCTCTCATGCAAGTGCTTCAGGATTGATTCTTTGAGGACCTGCTCCATGATTTTTTCCAGGGACTGAAGTGAGGCTGACTGGCCTGTAGTTCCCAGGATCCTCCTTCTTCCCTTTTTTTAAAGATTGGCACTACATTAGCCTTTTTCCAGTCATCCGGGACTTCCCCGGTTCACCACGAGTTATCAAAGATAATGGCCAATGGCTCTGCAATCACAGCCGCCAGTTCCTTCAGCACTCTCGGATGCAACTCGTCCGGCCCCATGGACTTGTGCACGTCCAGCTTTTCTAAATAGTCCCTAACCACCTCTATCTCCACAGAGGGCTGGCCATCTCTTCCCCATTTTGTGATGCCCAGCGTAGCAGTCTGGGAGCTAACCTTGTTAGTGAAAACAGAGGCAAAAAAAGCATTGAGTACATTAGCTTTTTCCACATCCTCTGTCACTAGTTTGCCTCCCTCATTCAGTAAGGGGCCCACACATTCAGAGTTGAAGGCTTCAAGCAAATTCCCCCTCGCTCTTCTCTGCTGCAGACTAAATAACCCCAGTTCCCTCAGCCTCTCCTCGTAAGTCATGTGCCCCAGACCCCTGATCATTTTCGTTGCCCTCCGCTGGACTGTCTCCAGTTTGTCCACATCCCTTCTGTAGTGGGGTCCCAAAACTGGATGTGGCCTCACCAATGCCGAATAGGGGGAATAATCACGTCCCTCGATCTGATGGTAATGCTCCTACTAATACAGCCCAATATGCCATTGGCCTTCTTGGCAACAAGGGCACACTGTGGACTCATATCCAGCTTCTCGTCCACTATAACCCCTAGGTCCTTTTCTGTAGAACGGCTGCCAAGCTCTTCGGTCCCTAGTCTGTAGCGGTGCATTGGATTCTTCCGTCCTAAGTGCAGGACTCTGCACTTGTCCTCGCTGAACCTCATCAGATTTCTTTTGGACCAATCCTCTAATTTGTCTAGGTCCCTCTGTATCCTATCCCTCCCCTCCAGCCTATCTACCTCTCCCCTCAGTATTACCCGCGAACTTGCTGAGGGTGCAATTCATCCCATCATCCAGATCATTAATAAAGATGTTGAACAAAACCAGCCCCAAAACTGACCCCCTGGGGCACTCCGCTTGATACCAGCTGCCAACTAGACATTGAGCAGTTGATTACTACCTGTTGAGCCCAACGATCCAGCCAGGTTTCTATCCACCTTATCGTCCATTCATCCAGCCCATACTTCTTTAACTTGCTGGCAAGAATACTGTGTGAGACCATATCAAAAGCTTTGTAAAGTCAAGATGTATTACATCCACCACTTTCCCCATATCCACAGAGCCAGTTATCTCAGCATAGAAGGCAATCAGGCTGGTCAGGCATGACTTGCCCTTGGTGAATCTATCCCCCATTGCCCCCAATTTCTCCAGGAGTATCATGAACCCAGCCATGTTGTCCCCGGGGTACTTTCAACCCAAAGTTCTTGGTAACATTTCCTCTGTGCAAGGTGGTGTCAGGGGAGACGCGGCCCATACTTCTTACACTTGCTAAGCAAGCAATTTTTAAAGGTGAGGCAAGAGGTTTCCTTCTGATCATTAATTTAACCAAATGTGGTTTTAGCGTGAACGTGCCTCGATGCCCTGATAGATCCATTCCTATTTTTCTAAAATACACGTATCAGCGATTTCCACGTTCGTAGCAGGACCCCGGAACCTGCTCCCCTCCTGCCTTGGTTAAGCGAAGGCCGCTGCGTGGCCTCTCTATGGGCAGCTGACGAGGCTGCTGTTAGCAGCAAACGTTAGTGATTCAGGCACTTTACTGGTTTGCCAAGATCTCCACGTACAGCCTCTCCGGCACCCACTACGGGCCGGAACATGAAGTGCGGGATGAGGCGCCTGGCAGAGCTCGGCGAGGCACCCAGAGGAGCCTGCTGGAGCCCCAAAGAAGGAGAATCCGTCCGGGCTGCTGGCTGCCAGGAGAGACACCTGAGGCCAAAGGTACCATCCCGCAGAGGGGCAGGACTCCTGGGTTCTCTCCCTGGGTCTGGGAGAGGAGTGGGGTCTGGTGGTTAGAGCAGGGAGTAGAGCTGGGAGCCAGGACTCCTGGGTTCTCTCCCCCAGTGACCCCACGCCCTGTCCCTGCAGTGGAAGCCCCGTCTGGCATTGGGGACCTGGTTCTGGCAGCCGAGCTGATGGAGGTGACGGGAGCGTCCCCCTGCTATGCCCAGCACCGGGGCGGGACCCAGCCGGCCATGCAGCACGACCAGGCGGCCTACGGCATCCCACAGGAGCCGGCCGCACGGTGCGGGAGCTGCAGGAGATGGTGCATCGGCAGAGCCAGCTGCTGCAGAGCTCGCAGGAGGCCCTGGCTGCCAGCCAGGAGCGCTGCCAGGAGCTGCAGGTGAGGGGTGAGGCAGTAGGGAGCACTGTGCTGCAAGGAGGGGGCAGGGGGATCATTGCAGGGAGCACCCTTCCCATACCCCATCCCAGAGTCAGCTGTATCCCAGCGCTGGGCGAGGGGTTCCCGGATACCCAGCCCCACCCCAGAGTCAGCTGCATCTCCGGCTCTGCGTGCCGCAGGAGAGGTCGGAGAGCGAGTGCTGGGTGCTGGCATCGGAGCTGGGCCAGCGGATCGCGGCGCTGGAGGCGGGGAACCGGAACCTGCGGTGCGAGCGGGACCAGCTGGAGAGCCGGACACGGGGGCTGCGGGAGGAGCCGGAGCGGAGCCGCAGCTCAATGCTGCACGTCGGCCAGAAGCTGAAGGAGCAGGGGGGCCGGGCCGGGCCTGCCTGGCCAGCGTCCGGGACGACAGCAAGGGGCTGCGGTTCTACACTGGCTTCGGCAGCGCCCAGCGCCTGGCCGCATTCCTGGCCTTCCTGTCTGAGGGGGAGCTGCGGCGGGGGCCGAACCGGGCCCCCCCAGCGCCCTAGCTCTTCCTGGTGCTGGTGCGGCTGGGGCTGCTCCTGCAGGATCTGGCCTTTCGCTTCCAGCTCTCCGAGGCCACTGCCTCCCGCTACTGGCTCAGCTGGACCCAGCTCATGGAGACCCGGCTGGCCCAGGTGAGCCCCCCCCGGGGGGCCAGCACCCCCAGAGGGAAAAGGCCCCGTACCTCATTCCCGGCCCCCGAGCCAGTCAGTCCCTGCCCTGGGACCAGATGGGAGCTGGTGCCCCCTAGAGGGGAGCAGGGGAGAACCCCCCATCCCTACCTGGGTATCTGCATGCGGAATATGGAGGGACTGGTCCACCCCTCACATGGAGAGGAGGCGTGGCTTGGAGGGGTGGTCCCGCCCCCCCAAGGGGCAGGGGTTGCCCAGAGGGATAGGTAGGCCCCCCAAATGGGGGGGAGGTGTGGTCCCCCCCACCTGGGAAGGGGGTGTGACCTGGAGGGGCTGGTCCCCACACATGAGAATGGGGGTGGCACGGAGGGCCCCCCGCCCCCCAGGGCAGGGCCTGACACTCCCATCCCCCTCTCCCCAGGTGCCGGTGTGGTGCAGCCCGCGTGGAGCGCTTCGAGCTGCAGCGGGCGTCCCGGGTCAGGGGCGTCCCGCGGGTGGTGCTGGACTGCGCCCAGCTCCGCTCCGAGGGCCGGGGCCGGCAGCTCTATGCCCTGCAGGACTGTGCCCTGGCCGCCCCCAGTGGCTTCCTGCTGCAGTGCCGCCCTGCCGGGCGGGGAGGGGGGGGCAGGGCCGGGGCTGCCCCCCTTCCTGCGGGACGGCCCCGTGGCCCTCAGCGCCCAGCAGGGGGAGGCCTGCCTGCAGCTGCTCAGCCTGGCCAGCCTGGCTGACAAGGCCCTGCGCTTCCGCTTCCTGCACGGGGTCCAGCCCCCAACCATGGAGGGCCAGGTGGGGTGGGCCTGGGCCATCTGCTGCTACCTGGCCTGCCTGCTACATGAGCCCATGGGGCTGGCATAGGTGAGGGAGGTGGGGCTTTGGGGATTCCCCCCTTCCTCAGTGGCTGGCAGGTGTAGGGCTGTGATAGGGGCCTGGATTCTCCCCCCCACGCCAGTGGCTGGTGGGGAGATCTGGGGGTGCAGCACCTGAGGAGGCTCATTGGGGGTGGGCAGGGGGTCCTGCTCACAGCTGTAGCTGATCTGCGTGGCAGCCTGGATAGAGCATTTGGCCCCACGGTGCCCCCTCCTGGGGGTGTCTCTGCACAGGAAGGGGGCTATGGTTGGCGGAGGGATGAATCCTGCTCCTAGGAGGAAGGAGACTGGTCACATTTGGCCTCTGTGGGCCTGAGCCCTGGGAGGGGCCAAGCCCCCCATTGATTCCAGCCCATGAAGGCAGGGCGATGGGATGGTAACTGGGTACTGGAAGCAGCTGGAGCTGTATCATTCCCCCTTCCACACGGGTGAGGGTAAACTGAGGCACAGAAAGACAATGCTCCGCCAAGGATAGAACCCAGGAGTCCTGGCTCCCAGCCCGCCCCCAACCACTAGTCACACTCCCCTCCCAGTCGGGGGGAGGGCAGGGTTAGGGAGAAAGAGAAACTGGGAGCCGGGACTGCTGGGTTCTAGCATCACCTTTTCTGCCTCAGTTTCCGGCTTTGTTTTCTCCCCCTTCTGCCCAGCTGCTCCTGGCTCTAGCTGTTTTGAGGGGGTGAGGGGTAGCTGGGAAGGGGAGGCAATTCCCCACCTTTGCCAAACTGGGGGGGGGGGGGGGGAGGCCTGCAGGGCCACAGCCCTGTTGTTCTCAATGCAGGTGGGTTCCTGGATTATTTGTCCCCCCCCCCCCCCGCCTTTTTGGTTGGAAATAAACCCTTTGTTCCTGGTAACGGCTGTGAGGAGAGATCCGTGAGCAGGGCACCCTCCAAAACCCATCTGGGGCATGGACAGAGGGTATTGCAACCCAAGGTGAGCCCTCCCCCTCTCCCTGTGGGCACAGCCCTGCCCCACAGCCACAGCCTGCCATGGAGAAAGCCCTGGGCCCCTCACTCTGGGAGTGTTGGTTTAGCAGGGGGGGGGATGACGACTCCTGGGAGTGGGCTCTAGGGAGTGAGAGCAGGGGTGGGGCAGGCTTTCCATGGCCTGTCCCCAGCTCTTCCCTGGGGTGGGAGGTTGGCTGAAGGGGCAGGGCACTGGCCACTCCCAGCATAAGTGACCCAATTGCTGGGCTCCCCTCTGCCCCACTGACTCAGAGAGACCCTATTCAGCAGGGGATGACAGGGGGACACACTACTGCTCCATGTGGATAATGGGGCTCACCCTACACAGCCCCAAGGAGGAGCCAGGTCAGGGGGCAGCCCTTGGAGGGAGCCTGAGCCCCCCCTGGAAGGGCAGGTGCCCCCAAAACCTACTCTTGCCACCATCACAGCTGCTGTCTGTGGGAGAGGGACAGGAGCTAATACAGACCCCATTACAACCTGGGGCGGCTCAGGGGCTACATATCCAGGGACCCCTCGCCTGGTGCTGAGATGCAGTCCCTGTGGGGTGGGGCACGGGGACCGAGTATTCGGGGGCCCCTCGCCCCGCACTGGGACGTGGCCCTCTGGATAGTCAGGAGGAAGGGCACCGCCCGGGAAGCGAACAGAGCAGACACCAGCCCATGGTTCTGACCCCTTTATTGGACCCAGGCAGCTGCAGGCCGGCGCAGTTAGTTCTTGTAGCCCCGGCTGGCGCGGCGGCCCCGGGCCCGCTCGAACTTCCGCCCCTTGGAGCGCACGTAGGGCCTGTGGGGAGGGGAGAGAGGGGTTAGCGGGATGCCCACGGGTGCTGCTCCCCCAACCCAGCTTCCTCCCATGCCAGGGATTCCCCCCCTCTGCTCAGGCCCAGTTCACAGGCTGACCCCCACCTGCTCTCCAGGGGTGGAAGGCCCAGGGAGCACCCTACAGTGAGGTGCCCGCAGGAGCTGGACACAGCCAGTGACGGCTCCAGGGGCAGGTTGTTTTGAAACACGACCCAACACATTAGTGGGGCTGGTCACAGGGCTCTAGTGTCTCTGGGAGTCCTGGCCCCCAACCACCAGACCCCCACCCCACATAGCCAGGGAGAGAACCCAGGAGGCCTGACCCCCACAAGACACAGGAACATGATCCACTCTGGGGATATCCTTCTATTACCTGAACTTCTCCCCACCCAGGGCTCATGCTCAGCCTAGCTGGGCCAGGCACCCCCAGGGCAGGCACAGGAAGCGGGACCCAGAGCAGTGGCTCAGTGGAGCGGGAGGGGGTTTGCACTCACTTGGTGTGACTGTGGGGGGTGCCGGGGGCCTTGCCAAAGTGCCGGTACACCTCGCGTCCCTTCCTGGGCCCTGGGGGGAGACAGTGTTACATCAACAGTGACAACCTCGCATAGGGGTGCAGACCCCCCCGGCTCAGAGACAGCGCAGGGAGGGCTTCTCCAGGCACCAGCCCACAGGGGCAGCCTGGGCCCTTTGCAGAGCTCCAGAGCCAGCAACTCCATGTGCCAGGTGGTCAGGGCCCTGTTCTGCGCCAGGATCCCCCACACAGCTGTGCCCGAGGCTGGGCAGGGTATATCTCGACTTTAGTGAGGCTTTTGATACTGTCTTGCAGACCTTCTCATCAACAAACTAGGGAAATCCAACCTAGATGGAGCTACTGTGAGGTGGGGGCCTAACTGGTTGGAAAACCCTCCCCAGAGAGTAGTTATCAGTGGTTCAGTCAGGCTGGAAGGGCCTAACGAGTGGGGTCCTGCAGGGATCAGTTCTGGGTCCGGTTCTGTTCAGTTATCTTCATCAAGAATTTAGATAATAGCCTAGAGGGGAAACTTCTAAAGTTTGTGGACAATACCAAGCTGCTTCGGAGGATAGGATTAAAATTCAAAATGATCTGGACAAACGGGAGAAATGGTCTGAAGTAAACAGGATGAAATTCAATCAGGACAAATGCAAAGCGCTCCACTTAGGAAGGACCCAACAGTGGCACACATACAGAATGGGAAAGGACGGCCTCGGAAGGAGTACCGCGGAAAGGGATCTGGGGGTCACAGTGGATCACAAACTAAATATGAGTCAACACTAACGCTGTTGCAAAAACAGCGAACATCTTTCTGGGCTGTATTAGCAGGAGTGTTGTGAGCAAGACACGAGAAGTGATTCTTGCGCTCTGCTCCATGATGATTAGGTCTCAGCTGGAGCATGGTGTCCAGTTCTGGGCACCACATTCCAGGCAAGATGTGGAGAAACTGGAGAAAGTCCGGAGAAGAGCAACAAAAATAAAGGTCTAGAAAACATGAGCTGCGAGGGAAGATTGAAGCAATTGGGTTTAGTCTGGAGAAGAGAAGACAGAGGGGACGTGATAACAGTTTTCAAGTTCATAAAAGGTGGTTACAAGGAAGAGGGAGAGAAATTGTTCTCGTTAACCTCGGAGGACAGGACCAGAAGCAATGGGCTTAAATTGAAACAAGGGCGGTTTAGGTTGGACAGTAGGGAAAACTTCCTGTCAGTGGTTAAGCACTAGAATAAGTTGCCCAGGGAGGTTGTGGAATCTCCATCACTGGGGATTTTTAAGAGTAGGTCAGACAAACCCCTGTCAGGGATGGTCCAGCTAATCCTTAGTCCTGCCATGCATGTAGGGGTCTGGACTAGACGCCCTCTCGAGGTCCCTTCCAATTCTGCGTAGAGCCCTTCGGCTGGGGTGGCCAGCTCTGGGGTGGGGCGTGGGTGCTGGTCACAGAGGGACCCCTCGCCCAGTGCTGGGACGCGGCCCCCCCGGGGTGGGGCACGAGGGCTGGGTATACAGGGACCCCTCCCCCAGTGCTGGGACGCGGCCCCCCCGGGGTGGGGCAGGTCAATTTCAACAGCACTAACAGCGCTGGCCCCAATGCCCCCACCTTGTTCAAACTGGCTGCCCGGGGACAGCGCCCCCTGCTGAGTCCCATCCCTGCAGCCCAGCTGGCCCCAGCTGCCTGTTGCAGGTTGTGTGGGGCAGGGCCAGTGCCCGGCCCAGCAGAGGGCGTGGGGGGACTCACCTGAGAGCAGCACGGTGCCCTGGCCCTTGGGGGCTGCCATGGCCAGCTGGTCAAAGGTCATGATCTGACCCCCCGCCTTCAGGATGCGACTGCGGGCTCCTTGGGTCACCCGCAGGGCACAGACCTGCCAGGAGAGATGGGTCAGTGACGGCCCCGGTGCTGCCCCCCCCCCACTAGGCCCCCACTCCCCTCCAGAGCCCGGAGAGAACCCAGGAGTCCTGGCTCCCAACCCGTTGGGGTGGGGACCCCGCAGCACCCGGCTTCACCTTCAGCTTAGGGATGTTGTGGATGCGGATGTCGTCGGTGATGGTTCCCACCACCACGGCTGTCTTGTTATCCCGCCCTGGGAGCTTCATCTTGCGGATCTGGGGGAGGAAGGGGACAGAGGATCAGTGAGACCCCCCGACTCTGGGCAGCGCAGCACCCCGGGACATGGCCCTCCCAGGACACGCTGTCAGTGTCTCCAGGGTACAGGGACGCAGGCAGGAGGAGAACCCATGAGTCCACGTGTCAAGTCAAATGGAACAGCACAGGGGCACTGCGGGTCGGGCAGAGCTGGGGCGTGGCCCCAGGGCTGGGATGAGGGGCCTGAGGAGAGCCCAGGGCTGGGCGAGCAGGTGGCCGTGGGGCACAGGTAGGGATGGTCTAGCAGGGGCTGTGGGTAGGGTTGAGGGGCACAGGTAGGGCCGGGCGAGCAGGGGGCTGTGGGTCCCCCCGTCCCCACTTACCATGCGGGAGAGGGCGAGTGGCGGGCGGTTGGTGCGGCTCATGAAGAGGCGTTTCAGGACGACCTTGTTGAAGCGGGAGCTGGTGCGGCGCGCCAGGAAGCGGTACAACTGGGGGGGACACGGCCATCAGGGGGAGCCCTTGCCGCGCCCCCCCCCCCGTGGGCACCATGGGGAAACTGAGGCAGTGACAGGCTCTCCTGGCTGTGTTTACACAGGTCATGTTAGACAGCAGCAGAGCCAGTCCCAGAACCCAGGTGTCCTGCCTCTCAGGAGGCCTCACTCCCAGCCCCTCCCCTGCAGAACTGGGGATAGAACCCAGGAGTCCTCACTCCCAGCTCCTCCCCCCACTAGCCCCCACTCCCCTCCCTGAGCTGTGGAGAGAACCCAGGCGTCCTGGCCCCCTGCAGACCCCCAGGGGGGGCGTTACCTTGACCAGCAGGCGCAGGTAGATATCCTGGCTCTTGGGCTCCGTGCGGCGAACCTTGCGGTCCTTGTTGTGTCGGATATCGACACCCTGGGGGGGACAGACGCTGTCAGGGCCCCCACCTCGGTGTCCTCCCCGCCAGACACCCCAAGCTATGGGTCTGAGGCGTGCCCCGACTCTCCCACACACCTAGTACCCCGTAAGTCACCCCATCCCCTGCTGCTGCTACCCCAATGGCCACGGCTCCCAGGCAAATTAGAACCCCCCGCACCCAGGGTGTGCACAGCAGCGCCCCCATAGCCCGTCTCCCCAAGCTCCTCATGCCCCCCCCAATCCCCAGGTCCTCCCCTCCTCACCCTGCCCCTTACAGGGTTACCCTCAAACAGCCCACCCACCTGTGCCACCCCCTTCTCAGACCACATACCCCACAGTACCCCCCACCAGCGTGCCCTCACCATTACATGTCACCCCTGCCCTCGATCCCTGGGTGCTCTGTATCCTCCCCCACTGGGTGCCCTGCTCCCACACTGGGTGCCCCCCCGGGCTGGGGGCTCCCCCCCACACCCAGCAACCCTCATGCCTTCTGCTCCACGGGTCCCCCACGTCCCTCATCTCCCCTTACGGGGTACCTCCCTTCCCAGCCTCTGCACAGGGTGCCCCCCACCCCTGCTAGGTGCCCTGCAGACCCTCCTCCACCCCCCCCCACTGGGAGCCCCCCACCCGTGCTGGCTGCCCCACATATCCTCCTCCACCCCCCAATCATAGAACAGAATATCAGGGTTGGAAGGGACCTTGGGAGGTATCTAGTCCAACCCCCTGCTCAGAGCAGGACCAAGCCCCAATTTTTGCCCCAGATCCCTAAATGGCCCCCTCAAGGATTGAACTCACAATCCTGGGTTTAGCAAGCCAATGCTCAAACCACTAAGCTATCCCTCCCCCCCCACTGAGTGCCCCCCGTCTCCCTCCCCGCACAGGGTACCCCCCCATCTCACATGCCCCCCCCAGCTGCCCCCAGCCAGGAGCCCCCCCAGCTCTCTGCCCCCCGGCATGTGCGCGGGGAGGCCCCGCCGACGGAGGCCCCCCCCCGTCCATTCAGGGCGATCCGGCCCTCCGGGGCCCCGCCTCAGCCCCCCGCAGGCCCAGGCCCGGGCTCGGCGCCCCCCTCCCGGCGGATGGCAGCGGATTCCCCCGCGGCCCCGGGTCTTACCATGACGGCGTCAGCGGCGGCTGGGCCCGGGAAGGAAGGAGGCGGGGCCGCGCGGGGGCTGATGGGAGCGGCGCTCCACTCTATGGCAGCGCGGCGGCAGGCAGAGCCCCACCGCGGCCAGACGTGCGACGCTCCGGCCGGCGGGCTCAATGGTGCTGGAGGACTCCGAGTTATGAGAGAGCAGCTGATAGAGTTTATGGAGCCCAGCCCGCGGGTCGGGTCGGGTGGGGTGGGGTGAGGAAGGAGGAGTTCTCACAGAGATGGGGGCTAAACTAGGCAGGGGAGACTGGAGCAGAACAGAATTGGCTACTGGAGTTAACTGGAGCACAATATAACATGTTTCAGAGGAACAGCCGTGTTAGTCTGTATTCGCAAAAAGAAAAGGAGTACTTGTGGCACCTTAGAGACTAACCAATTTATTTGAGCATGAGCTTTCGTGAGCTACAGCTCACTTCATCAGAGCAGAACGGATCCGAATTTGGTGACTGGACAGACTAGACTAGCCGGACTAGACTAGTTTGGACACTAGGCTAGACCAGAGTGACTGTGTCTCAGATCCACGGGGAATTCTGATGTGTTGCAATTTCGTTTCCTCCCTCAAGTGGAAATCTCACCTGTTTGGGCGAAATAATTCAAGTTGCTTCCTTTCGGCCTCATGGACGCCTATAAACCTTTCTATTGTGTTGCCTTATCACGGAGAGCATCAAAGTCCAAAGGAAGCAGCCGAAAGGAAACCTTTGGCCCATATTGAAAGGAAACGCTTGCTGCTGAAGACATTGACACATGCCTGCGTTTTGATGTTACCAGATCAGCATTTTCCAATGGAAACCTTCTTCCATCCGTTCATTTTCAAGTCTCTCTAGTTGCCATTAATACGCAGTTACTTGTACATTTGAATTTGAGGGATAGGAGGAGGGGAGGAATTGGTTACCACACAGGTGGGACAAAAAATCTATCTACCAATATGGGAAGAATACAGACTAACACAGCTGCTACTCTGAAACCTAGAAGAAGAGTGTGTGTCTCATTATTAAAAATAATAAATAGAGTCTGATTGAAGCATTTAAGTATTAGCAAATGCAAATAATCAATAAGAATAGAATCATTATTAATTTGTTACTTATAATAAACTTAAATCGCTGTGGGTGCTTAGATTGTGAGCTCTTGGGCGGCACTCTATTAACACCTGGTAGAAATAATAATGTACAGTGCCTCGCACAAGAGGGTCCTAGGTGTTACCACAATACCCCTAATAAATAATGTACAGCGCCTAGCACAATGGGAGTCCAGCTCTGCATTTCCCCTACTAAATATGGCCGCCATATGCGTTAGCTGTTATGGAGGGTGAAGCCCACATATGGAGGGTGAAGCCCACATCCTTTGCCCACATACAAGATGGCCGTCATGCCCGTCTGATTTCTATGGAAGGGCTGGGAATAAAGGCAGGGCCTAGTTCCCAGAACAAAGATGGCAGCCCCACTCCGTCCGTTCATACAGAGAGGGACGCTATCTCCCTTGCCCACACTCAAAATGGCCGTCACATCCCATTGAATCGCAGGGAGGAGGGTGGAGCGAGTTCTTTCCGCCCACAACAAAGATGGCCGTCACAAGAGCTTTTGGAGGGAAGGCGAAACCTGTGGGGCTGGTGCTGCCCACCACAAAGATGGCCGCCGCCTGGCCCGGGGGTGGGGTCGAACGTCCTGATTGGTGGGACGGGAAGGGGACAGTTCTGTGATTGGCTGGATCCAGCCCCTCCCTCCATTTATGAGGCCGGCTGGCGCCTGCTGGAAGCACTTCCTGGGGAGAGGGAGGGAGGGAGGCAGGCAGAGGCAGGGGGCACAGAGGGAAGGGGGGCGAGGGCGAGGGCGAGGGGAAGCACCTGCTGCCGGGGGCAGGGGGATGGTGGCAGGTAGCAGCCTTGCCGCGGGGCCCATTTCCCAGCCCCCCTGCCCTATGGTGCGGGGCCAGGCTGCTCCCTGCCTGCGTCCCTAGCTGGGGGGTCCGAGCAGGGTCTGGATCGGTTCCAACCCCCCCATTTCCCCAGGCCCTATTCCTGGGCGGGGGTGGCAAGAAACTTTTGAAGTGTCTTTGAAAATCCCAGCGACTCCTGGCTTCCTCCTGCCTAGCCGGGCTCCCCACCCCCGGGTGAACGCAGACATCGGGGAGGGGGGAGAGGGCTGGACCCAACTCAGCTCCCCCCTCCCTGCTTGGCCCCTGGGGAGGGGAAAGGCTAAAGCCGGCTTCTGGATCCCTGCGGGCCCTTCCCCCTGCTGAGCCGCTTAGTCAGGCTGGCTCTCATTCCTTGGCTGCTTGAGATTCCCCAAGATTCCTGCCCCGGGGTGCTCCCCTCGGGGATGGGGCGTCACAGGGCGTGAAGATCCCGCTGGAGTCCAGGTGGGCCAGAGGCAGCAGAACAGACTGGGGTTTGGGTCTGGAAATTTCTCCTGGTGGGTTAGTTGTTCCCTGGCCTGGTGCCAATCCACCCCACCCATGTCCTAGTGGCTGTTTGATTTGGGTTTGGGCGGGACGGGGTGGGGTAGGGACCTAGAGGAGAGTTGATGGTGCTGGAAGGACCCACCTGAGGTGCAGCTTAGGCCGGGTGGGCCACGACGCCACCGGGAAGATGAACCTCGCCCTGGGCCCGTATGGCGAGGGCGCGGAGACGCTGCTGCACGGGGAGTTTGGGGCTTACCCTTCCAAGGGCTCCCGCTACGCCCTCAGCCTGACCCAGATGGCGCTGCACATCCAGCGGCTGGTGCCCAAGCCAGAGACGGACCAGCGCACTGTGGTGCCCCTGGCCGAGGTGGTGGGCTGCCACACGCTGCGCAGTCGGGCGCCGACCGACCGGGCGGCATACTTTTCTGTCTATGCCTACCCGCTGAAGAAGAGGAAGGTGGCAGTGGGGTTGGGGCGCGGGCGGCAGAGGGCGGCACGGACCTTCCAGGTGGATGGGGCCGACGACTACGAGAAGAACCAAGCGGTGGCGGAGAAATGGGCGGCTGCCATCAAGTGCCTGGTGCTGGGCATCCCCGTCTCCAGCGAAACAGGTAAGGCTGCCCCTATGCTGTCTGCCCTGCTTCCCTCCCAGAGCTGGGGTGAGAACCCAGGCGTCCTGGCTCCCAGTCCCCACCCCTGTTGCCCTAACCCACTAGACCGCACTCCCAGAGCTAGAAATAGAACCCAGGAGTCCTGGCTCCCAGCCCCCCCCCCCCGCTCTAACCACTACACCCCACTCCCCTCCCAGAGCTGGAGAGAGAACCCAGGCGTCCTGGAACCCGAGACTAAGTTCTCTCCAGTTTGACCCGCCGTAACAATAACAAAACAGATGCTGTTGCGGAGACCCAGGGATGGTTCCGTCCGGCGCCCAGAGATGGGACGTCAGCCCCCCCTTAGATGTTTCACTGCCCCGGCCCTGAATGTGTGCCCGGGACAGGAGGCTGCAGCCAGCGATGGCTCCCTCCGTGATCTCAGCTGCTGGAGATCCCTGAAACCAGACCCAGCGAAGAGGGGCCCCCTGCCCTGCTAGCCCCTTCTGGCTTTGCCTGCGGAACAGCCTGTGTGGGGGGGGGTTACAGGCACCAGGATGGGGGCCCGGACGTCTGGGTTCTCTCCCTGGCCCTGGGAGGGAAGGGAGGATCTGGTGGTTAGAGCGGGGAGAGGCGGGGAGCTGGGCAGCAGGATGCCTGAGTTCTCTCCCCGGCCCTGGGAGAGGGGTCCAGCCCCTAGAGTATGGGGCAGCTGGGAGACAGGCTATCTGGATTGTTTGTGCCCGCAGGTGGGGCTGGGGACCCAGTGCTTGGGGCCCGGATTGTGACGCCTAGGTTCAGGGATCTAAGGCTGGGCGCGGCCCCGTCCTTTCCTTGTCCTGGGCCGGGATCCAGGGGCAGGGCCAGGCTGGGCTTATTTGTCTCTGGCAGCCTGGCCAAAGGTCGATGGATTGTCTTGAAGGTGGGGCTGTCGGATTCTTTGTTCTCCGCCCCCACAGGCTCCCCTTGGGGCCCCAATTTCTTCCCCCCCCCACCTTTGGTCTAACCCCTACCACATCAGGGGCCCTCAAGAAGCCTCCCGAACCCCGGGGGTCAGGATCCCTCCTGCGGGGGCTCAGGGTTGCCTTGGGCAGTGGCTCCCCACCTCTCTGCACCTGCTGAGGGATTGGGGAGGCCTGAAGGCAGATCAGGGCTGGGGGGGGGCAGATGCCATGGATGGGGGCTTGCTGGCATGGTGGTTGGCTCCAGGGGGTGCATAGGGATGGAGTGGGGGGGCTGGGGCATGGGTGTGCATGGGTGCAGCGGAGGGGGGGGAGGTGTGTGAGTGGGGCTGGTTGGTTGTGGGGCATGTGGGCATTGGGTGTATGTGGGGATATCAGCTCTGCCTCTCTGGGCCAGGGACCTTGCAGAACCTGCCACACTATCAGCCCTGGGTGTAAAGTGCAGCCGTCTCCGTCTGGGGAACTTTTGACTTGGAGTGAGGAGCATCCACCTGCTTCCAACCACTAGATCACACTCCCCTCCCAGAGCCAGGGAGAGAACCCAGGAGTCCTGGCTCCCAGCCCCCGGTTGGCAGATGCTAGGAAATAGATGAGTGTTTGCATGCCCCAGCATTCCTTCTGCAGTGTGTGTGGTGGTGGTTCTGGGTTAATCTTTCCTCCCTGCACATCCTCTGGGCTTCATTATCTACTTCCCTCACCCTGCCGGGCCTTGTGGTAAGGGAAGGGGTGCCCTGGCTGCATGGAATAGGGCTGGGCACTCTCCCTTGGCAGTCTGTGCTGGCCCCAGCTATGCAGCCTGGAGTGGGGTCGGCGGCTCAGTAGAGGGCACTCTTCCTGTGCCCCATGCCAGAGGGGCTGCATCTCCGTGCCAGGCGAGGGGTCCATGTATAATCAGCCCCTGTGTCCCACCCCAGAGGGGTTGCATCCCAGTGCTGCGCAATGGGTCCCTGTATAACGAGCTGCCACATTCCACCCTCCTGCCACTGTCACGCTGGCTCGGAAGCTCAGGGCGGATCAGTCTAAGTGTCTCTGAATTGTCCTGGGTTTCTCATTACATGACCCGACCGTGTTGCAGCTCGGCTGCCTGGCTGGCCGTTAGCCGCACCGCCTGGCTGTGGTCGGCCTGGCGTCCTTCAGCGGTTGGTGCCTCGCTTTGTGTCCGCCACCTGTGGGGGTTTGCTCTGTGGCTCGTTCCTTCCGATGAACGCACTGGAGACGTGTCGATCGTGTGTGGTCGGGGTGCTCGACAGCTGGAGTTTGCCATCCTTTTTCTCCGTTGCGAATGTGATCGCCCGGTTCTAGACTTGGCGGCTCTCTGACTGAGTGACGTCTGGCCTAGAAGTGTCCATAGGCTCTTTCAGCCTTTGTGTCCGACTTGGCCGACTCCCTTCATAGATTCTTTTCCAAAGCCGGATCCGGAGCTCTGAGTTGTCGTGCCATCCGGAGCTGTGCAGGACTGTGGCCGGGAGCCACTATCGGTGTCGATCTGTAAGTCAGAAGAGCGAAGGATGGGTCTTCCCTGCTGTGGGATTTTTCTTGGCTCTCTGATTTCCTCAGCCTCTCCATTTGCTTGCAAGAAAGGTGGGCTACTGGTGTTGTAACCAAAATGACTGAAATCCCGCTGCGGTGAATTGTGGCCTGTTGTTTTCTACCGGATCTCCTTTCCAACATCTAATATCAAATCCTCCATGTTCTTCCTGTTGTGGCTGTGACCGAGAAGGTCATTGGTCTTTGATCCCGTGCGCTCTGAACGCAAAGCTGTCGTCTCCGTAAGTCGGTTCTGCGATGAGCCGGCCCGGGCTGCCCTCCAGGGCAAGTCACGGCTGCGTGAGGTGACTTAGGCTCTGGTTGGGGTCAAAGGCGATTGTAAGTCTTGCCACGAATGTTCAGTTTTGCTCTCCAGGCAGGCTCTTTGGCATCACACGTGATCAATCCCAGAACAATGTCTCATCTGGATCGTCTATCATACGAGTCCCCGCTCAGACCACGTGGGTGTGGCAAACTGCTGCAAAATGTCCATATTTTATGCATTTATTAAAGCATGTGCCTTGGGCTGGAAGCGTGTCGTCTCTTGGGATATGAATTTTCCGCAACTTGTGCGTTTAGGCTGTCAGGCTTTGGCGTTTGGAGTTTGACCCTTTCGCCTGGGAGATTTCTCTCCTTGCCTCCAAGGTTTCATGGCAACGATTTGTCCTGCCATGTCCAAACAGCTGCTAAGCTGGTTTCTGGTTTTTCAGGTTTGGCCAGCTACCCTCCCCATTGCTGGGGTTTGCTGTTTGAACAAAGTTAAGTCTGGCTTTAATTGTAACTGCCATGCACCCAACGCCCAGTCTGGCTCTGGTGTTTTCATGTTGCCAGCCAATGCATGCAGAGCTCTTCTGAAGCCGACAGCCTTTCCCCCTGCTCCTTGAGCTCTCTGCTGGACACCTGCTGTTCCATAAGGCACGGTTCTCCGCGGCATAAAGTAGGCACCAAAAATCGGCAGCACCCTTATCTGGTCAGCCTAGCAACAGGCTTCAGGGAAGTCAAAGCATGTAGTGATTGGCTCGGAACGGAAGGAGCGCCTTGCAGATTGCCCCTCTCCTTGGGGAGCTTTGCCAATGGGTGGGCTAGCGAAGATGAGAGATTCAGGGGCTTTGAGGTGAGACCGGGTGATTGGAGCCTGTGGCCTCTGTGTGTATGAGTGTTTTGTTTTGTTTTTTTTTAAATGCTTCCTGGCTGCAGCATTTATTACTTTGGTGTTTCCATGTCCCCCCTCTGGCTCGCTCTTGGCAGCCCGGCGCGTGTACCCTGTGTACAGGAAGCGGCAGGGCTGCTAGCACGGCAGGCGTCCGTATCAGATCTGGACAGAGTACAGGGCTTCCCTCGCCCGGCTGGATCTTCTGTCAGCCTTTAATGTGCTGCCAGGGGGGAGGTTAGTTCCGGCGAGGTGTGTGATACCCGTGGGCATCTGGTGGCTCAGCAGTTCAGCATTCCATTAGCAGCCCTGTAATCCCAGCCCCCGCGCCCCACCCCAGAGGCAGCCGCATCTCAGCGCCGGGTGAGGACTCCCCATATGAGAGTTTCCTATGCTGGGTTCAGACGCTCAATAAACCCTCCTGTTACGCTGGCTGAGAGTCGCTCCAGGCTAGGGAACAGGGGGGCATTATTCCCTCTGGGAGTGGAGGCCCCGGGGGTCAGACAGGCGTGCTAAGGCTCGGAGAGGTGCAGTTCCAGGAGGTGGAGGGGCCTAACCCCCGAGAGAGTGGACCCCCGAGAAGGGCTGTCGCACTGAAAGGGGTTCCCCTCAGGGACTGCACAGGGCCACGAGTGGGCACGACCTGGGAGTCTGTAAGACATACCCAGCTCCCGCGCCCCACCCCAGAGGCAGCCGCATCGCGGTGCCAGGCAGGGTTCCACTGACCTGCTGTCCCCGCTCTCTCCTTTCAGAGATCGCTCCCAGCCTCCTGCCGCGCCCGCGCCGGCTGCTTCTGCTGCTGAACCCGTTCGGGGGCAGGGGCCTGGCCCTCCAGTGGTGCCAGACCCACGTGCTGCCCATGATCACGGAGGCGGACATCAGCTTTAACTTGATCCAGACAGGTGAGGGGGGACCGGTGGCGGGAGAGAGAAGGGCCTGCAGCCTGAGGGGGCAGGGGCAATGAGTTAGGGAAGGGCCTGTGGTCTGGAGGGCAGGGGAGACGAGTTGGGGTGGGGGGAGGGGAAGGGCCTGTGGCCTGGGGGGTAGGGGAGATGAGTTGGGGGGGGAGGGGAGACAGTATGGGGGCAGGGAGATGGTATGGGGGTGGGGGAGGGGAAGGGCCTGGGGGGCAGGGCAATGGGATGGGGAGGAGGGCGAAGGGCCTGGGGGGAGGGGGAAGGGCTGGCAGGGGGAAGGGGCAGGGAGACGGGTTGGTGGGGGAGGGCTGCATGTCTGGTGCCCCGTCTCTCCCCTGTTCCCAGAGAGGCCTAACCACGCCCGGGAGCTGGTGAAGGGCATCAACCTGGCAGAATGGGATGGGATCGTCGCCATCTCGGGGGATGGGCTCCTATATGAGGTAACACCCCCCCCCCCCCCAACGGCCTCAACATCCCTGGCACCCTCCCCTGCTGCAGATCTGACCCCACTCCCCTCCCAGAGCCAAGGAGAGAACCCAGGAGTCCTGGCTCCCAGGACCCTGCTCTATTAAACCGGGGTGGGCAAACTTTTTGGCCTGAGGGCCACATTGGGGTGTGAAACTGTATGGAGGGCCAGGTAGGGAAGGCCGTGCCTCCAGAAATGGCCTGGCCCCCACCCCCTATCCGCCCCCTCCCATTCCTGCCCCCTGACCGCCCCCTCCTGGGACCTCCACCCCCTGTCCAACCCCCCCCCTTGCTCCCCATCCCCTGACTGTCCCCCAGGACCCCCTGCTCCTTATCCAGACCCCCAGCCCTGGCCCCCTTACCATGCCGCTCAGAGCAACATGTCTGGGAGCTGCGCCTCCTGGCTGGAGCCAAATGCACTACCCTGCATCAGCGCGCAGCCCAGCTGTCCAGAGCGCTGCCCGCATGGGAGGGGGCAAAGCAGGGGAGGGACTGGGGGCGAGCCTCCTGGGCCAGGAGCTCAGGGGCTGGGCAGGACGGTCCTGCGGGCCAGATGTTGCCTGCAGGCCGTAGTTTGCCCACCTCTGTACTAGACCCTGCTCCCCTCCCAGAGCCAGGGGGAGAACCCAGGAGTCCTGGCTGCCAGCCTGACCTGCTCTCACCACTAGCCTCCACAGCAGTTCACCTCTCTGCCGGGCAGGTTCTCAACGGGCTGATGGAGCGCCATGACTGGGAGGAGGCGATCAAGATGCCAGTTGGGATTTTACCGAGTGGTTCGGGGAACGCCTTAGCCGGAGCCATCAACTGTAACGCAGGGTAAAGGCAGTGCTAGCGGGGGGGACTGGGAGCCAGGATGCCTGGGTTCTCTCCCTGGCTCTGGGTTGGGAGGGCGGGTCTAGTGGTCGGGGGGTGAGAACCAGGACTCCTGGGTTCTATACCCAGGTCAGGAAAGGGAGTGGGGGCCGGGGTGTGTGTATGTGGGTGGGATGGGGGGGTGCATGGGGAGCAGATGCGGGTTGTGGAGAGTGGGGGGGAGACTCCTATCCCGCACTTCCTGCCCAACCTGCTCTTCCCATGGGGGCTGGGGGTGAGCGGCTCCCTCCCCTAGCAAGGGGCGGTGTGTGGGGGGGTGCTTTGCTGGAGGACTGCATCCCCTGGCTGGGCGGCTCACCCCCAACCCTGCCCCCCAGCAGGCTGGAGCAGGTACTGGGCCTGGAGCTGCTGCTGAACTGCACCCTGCTGCTGTGCCATGCAGCCGTGGCCCCACTGGACCTGGTGGCCATCACCATGGCCTCGGGCGCCCGCTGCTTCTCCTGCCTCAGCGTGGCCTGGGGCTTCGTCTCGGACGTGGACATCGAGAGTGAGAAGTACCGGCACATGGGTGCCGCCCGGTTCACGCTGGGCACCCTGGTGCGCCTGGCCTCCATGCACACCTACCGCGGGCGCCTCTCCTACCTGCCTGCCACCGATGCCACCGCCCACCGGCCCATCTCCCGCAGCATCACCGTGGCCCCCAACGGCCACCTGCCCCTGCAGCGCCTGCCCCTGCATCGTGCCCTGTCCGACATGGGGTTGTGCGAGGAGCGCCACGCCTTCCGGGGGGCTGAGCCAGCCCCCGTGCCCTGCCCCTCGCCTGGCTCCCCGCCCCCCTCCTCCGCCTCCATCCTGCCCCCGCCCAGCTTCTCCTTCGAGCCCGGGCCAGGGGAGCTGCTGGCCGGCGGGGCAGGCGAGGCCCGGGTGGGCGGCCCCCCAGATGAGCTGCTGGTGCCGCTGGGGCAGCCGGTGCCCGGCTCCTGGATGACAGTGGAGGACAACTTTGTGCTGGTGCTGGCCATTTACCAGAGCCACCTGGGGGCTGACCTCTTCACCGCCCCCTTTGCCCGCTTCGACGACGGGCTCATCCACCTCTGCTTCATCAAAGCCGGCATCTCCCGCGCCGCCCTGATCCGCCTCTTCCTGGCCATGGAGAAGGGCAGCCACTTTGAGCAGGAGTGTCCCCACCTCGTCCACGTGCCCGTCCGGGCCTTCCGCCTGGAGCCCCTCACCCGCAAGGGCATCCTGACCGTGGACGGTGAGCGGGTGGAGTATGGCCCCATCCAGGGCCAGGTGCACCAGGGCCTCGCCAGACTCATCACCGGCGTCAATCGCCTCAAGATCGCCAGCGGCTAATGCCCCTGGCTGGGCGCGGAGAGAGGGGCCCCAGCCTCCTCTCCGGCCGGCTTGTTTCAGGAGGTAGCAGGAGATGGCTGGCGGGTGCTGCCCTCCCTCCTGGGGTCAGGGGGTGCAGCGGGTGCCAAGCTGTTGCCCCTGCCTGGCTCCTGTCTAAAGCTGCCTATTTATTCCTTAGATCCTGGTATCATCCACTGAATGAATGTAACGCAGAGGCATGACCCTCCCCGGGGCAGGGGCGGGGGTGTTTCCCACCATGTGGGGGTCACAGGAGAGAAAGGAACGGGAATGGGAGGTGCTGAGCATGGTCCTTTTTCATTCCCGTCCTATCATGTAGCCAGGGGGCGCTAGGGCGTCAGAACCGGGGCGCGTTCCCACCGCCTGCCACTGGGGGGAGGCGGTACCTGGGGGGGAGAGCCACCAGGGGGGAGTGGGATGGGCTGGCAGGTGTCTGAGGGTGTGCAGTACCCCATGTCTCCCCCTAGGGGCTGGAGGTGGGGCTGCAGGCAAGACATTCCCAGTACACCCAGGGCAGTGGGGGGAAGTGGCTTTGCAGACCAGTTGCTGCAAAACCAGGATAGAACCCAGGAGTTGTGGCTCCCAGCCCCTCCCCCCCGGCTCTGACCACTAGACCCCACTCCCCTACCCGAGCAGTAGTTAAAACTTTGGGATGGGAGTGGGGTCTACTGGGTTAGTGTGTGTGTGTGGGGGGGGGGGGGAAGTTAAGACTCCTGGGTTCTTCCCCTGATGCTGGGAGGGGAGTGAAGTCTAGTGGGTGAGGGCAGTGGTGGGCCAGGCGCACTGGAGCCCGGCAGGGCCCTGCCAAGACACAGCCTGGAGCTTTCTTTGCACTAAAACCTCTGTGTTCTGTGAATGGGGACAGCCAGGCTGCCTGTGCCGCCGGAGGGGAGCCTAATATCTGTCTGTCCTGTGTGTCCTTCTAACAGCTTCCCCCCCCCATAACTTTGATGTGAGCAGGAAACTAGAATGAGCTGAAAGTGATCAGATCCCTGGGCCCATCTACCCTGGTACCCTCCCTGCCCTGTCCCTCCTGGGCCAGATCAGCCTTGTGGGCCCATCTACCTGAGTATCTGACCCTCTGTTTATCTGCCCCATGCCCATGGGCCCATCTACCCCAGTAACTGACCTTTTTCCCTATCAGCTCCATTAACTCATTTTCCCTGCTGTCCAGCAATGCAGTGGTGTGTGTGTGTGGGGGGGGCAGCTCTGACTCCCCCCGGGGTGCCTTGTGAAGGGGGGGGGCAGCTGGTGTCAGGCCCTCTGTTAATCCCGTGTGCGCTGCAGCTGCCATCGCTGTTCCCACGTTTCGTCCCTGTGTTGAAGTGATTTAGACCTATGCAATAAAGCAAGAGCATGAGGCCTCTGGGCCGTGCCCTTCATTCAGCCACTGGGCCGGGCCAGCAGGGGGCTGCGGGTCGGGAGTGAGGGGCACTGGCGGAGCTGGGGGGAGCCCAGGGCCAGGCTAGGAAGGGGCTGCGGGTCAGGAGCAGGGGAGAGCCCAGGGTCGGGCTAGCCGGGGCTGTGGGTCAGGAATGAGGAGCACTGGGCAGGGGGGAGTCCAGTGCTCTGGATCCCCCATTAGTTAAAGGGGGGAGGACCCTTGTGAGTTGCAAAGCTGGAGGTGAAATGAAGGCGCAGTGCTGGGTTTGACCACTAGGGGGCAGCACACCATAAGTGTCAGGTGAAAATAAACAAGGCCCCATCACCTACTAGGAAATGGGGCCTTTCCCCCCCAGGGGCCACTGGCCCTGAGCTGGCCCTAGGGCGGGGACTGGCTGGCTCGGGAATGGGGCCCAGGCCCTTTCCCCTTTAGGGGGCATGGGACCTGGCTGGCTTGGGGGTAGGGAATGGGGTCCGGGGCCTTCCCCTTTAGGGGGCGCTGGCCTCTGTGGGGTGGCTTTGACCCGGCCCCCGAGCCAGCTGGGGTGCCTGCATGCTGCCCTGACACACACAACTGTGCTGATATATATTACGGCCTGCGGTAATAAAACCTGCTGGTGACCCATGCCCATGAGGCAGGGGTGGGGCGTTAAACCCAGGGGCTGACCCTCCCCCAACATAGCCCTGCATCATACACCCTCCCCCCACAGCCCCCACAGGGGTGCACCCTCCCACCCCCTATTCAAAGAACACTCCCACCCCCAAGCTCTCTGTTCATCGCTTTCTCGGCTCTTTTATTGCCCTGGTACAATCGGCACCAGCTGGCGGCCGCGGCCGGCTGCCCTTCTGCGTTCCTCCTCGAGCATTCGGCAAGGGAAAAAATAAACCATCCAGAACCTCCCCCCGACCAGGCATTGAAACAGAGCCCTGCATCTCAGACCCCCCTTATATATTTTTTTTCTTTCTGTATGAAATAAGTTTCCTTCCCCTCCATAAAAATATAAAACAGCGTCGCGCGCCGGCCTGGGATCGCTGCGGCCGGCCGACTGCCCCCCCACGCAGATCCCGCGCTGCTCTGGAATAGTTCTTCTCCCCCCAGAAAAGTTCTCTCTTCTGCTGAGCTGCAGTAGCTGTGTCTGTCTGTCTGTCTGTCTCCCCCCGGAAAAATAGATTCACGTGCCGCTTTGGAAGTGCCGCCTCTGGCTGGCCGTCTAGCCCTGCTCCGAAAGCGGAGCTCTCCCACGGGCGGCGCTGGCTGGGCCGGGTGGCGGTCTTCTCCCCCAAATGGCCTAGCGGCCGGGGGGGCTCTGTCACGCTGCCTCGCCCGCTCCCCGAGAAAAGCAGCCCGCGGGCGAGGATCTGGCGCGCCGGTAAACACCCAGGGTCCGTGGGGCAGCGCCTGGGGCCCCGGCTTCATAAAAACACCCGGAAAGACAGAAACCCCCTGGAAAATGCTAGCCGGCGAGAGGGAGCGGAAGGGGCTTGGGTAGAGGCCGGGCGGGAGCCACGAGGCGCAGGGCCCAGACAGGCCGGCCGCACTTAACAAAATATAGAGCGAATCGTTAGAATAATAATAATAACAGTTAAGAAGAACTCTCCCCTCCCCCCACCCTGCCCTGAGCCCCTGTGCAAACCCATGGAGTGTTCCAGGGGGGACGCGCCGCACGTCCCCCCTGCCAGCAACACCGGCGCCTCAAAAGTGCTCAGAGTGCAAAGGGTTAAAGGATCAGGGCTGGGAGCCAGGACTCCTGGGTTCCCTCCCTGGCTCTGGGCAGGGGGTGGGGTTTGGTGGTTAGCTCAGGAGCCAGGGCTCCTGGGTTCGATCCCCAGGATCGGCGGGGGGTGGAGCTCCGGTAGTTGGAACAGTGGAGAGCTGGGAGTCAGGACTCCTGGGTTCTATCCCTGCCCTGAGAGGTCAGAGGTTCCCCCCTGCACCTCCACCACTTAACCCCACTCCCCTCCTACAGTTGGGGAGAGAACCCAGGAGTCCTGGGATTCCAACCCCCCAGCGAAGTTACTGGCCTTGCTTGCTCTGAAATCTGACGGTTGAGAAGCAGTTTGAAGCAAGAAGGGAGAGCGGGGGTGTGGGGCACTAGGGTGAAGGACCCCCAGGCCCCAGAGGACTGTCCCAGCCCCAGCCCACCCCCCCTACTCAGTCCCTGGCTGTGACTAATAGAAGCCACAGGTTCCTATTACTACTCGCCGCCACTAGGTGACGCACAAGAGCTGGCAAAGTAACAGCCCTTGGTCTCTTTTCCAGCACCGGGGGTAAAGAGTTGGGAGTCAGGACTCCTCGGTTCTACCCTCAGCACTGGGAGGCCAGAGCCCCCTCCTCTAACCATTGGCCCCCGCTCCCCTCCCAGAGCCAGCGACAGAACCCAGGAGTCCTGGCTGCCAACCCCCCGACTCTAACCCACTAGACCCCACTCCCCTCCCAGAGTGGGGGATAGAACCCAGGAGTCCTGGCTCCCAGCCCCCCTCATCAGATAACCCTGCCACCGACTGGCTCTGTGCCTCCCACCCACCTCTTCCATTCAGTGGGGCGGGGCGCATGTGTGCGCATACCCGTCCAAACCCCTGCTTCATCCTGCTGCAGGGCTGGGGGGGGGGCACATCACCAGTTCAGACCCCCCCCCGACTCCGGCCCGCTCCCCGGGAAAGAGTCAGCCGGGCTCCCCACTTCCGCCCGGGAACGGGGAGCGGGGTCCGGTTCCAAGCCAATGTCTCTCCTTGCTCCTGGTCCTGGACAGTCACCTCCACCCGCGGGAGCTGGCTGGAGCCCAAACGCCCCCGCACGGGGAGAGCCCAGGAGCGGGGGAAGGGGGAAAGAGGGCGCCCCCTTGCTGCGGGGAAGCAGCCCCCCCCACCGTCCGCGGGGGGGCCGGGGCGTGTGGCGGAGCAGGCGGCCGGCGTCCTACAAGGTGCCGTGCTGAGACTCGTACTTGGTGAGGATGGTGCGGTAGCGGGAGAGCTCCTGGCGGATGCTGGCCACCTCCTGCCGCAGGACGGCGTTCTCCTTCTCCAGGAAGGCGGCCCGCACCGTGATCTGGTTCTCCTTGAGGCGCCGGGCGTCCCGCGAGCGCTTGGCCGCCTCATTGTTCTTGTAGCGCCGGTTCCAGTACTTCTCATCCTGCGGGGGGGGCGTGGGGGGGGGCAGAGGGAGAGAAAACGAACGAGAAAGAGACTTGAGAACAGCCGGCGCCCCCTAGAGGGGACAGGCCCCGTGTCCCATTCCCTGCCCCCCTGAGCCAGCCAATCCCTGCCCTGGGGGCAGATGGGAGCCGGCGCCCCCTAGAGGGGACAGGCCCCGTGTCCCATTCCCTGCCCCCCTGAGCCAGCCAATCCCTGCCCTGGGGGCAGATGGGAGCCGGCGCCCCCTAGAGGGGACAGGCCCCGTGTCCCATTCCCTGCCCCCCTGAGCCAGCCAATCCCTGCCCTGGGGGCAGATGGGAGCCGGCGCCCCTAGAGGGGACAGGCCCCGTGTCCCATTCCCTGCCCCCTGAGCCAACCAATCCCTGCCCTGGGGGCAGATGGGAGCCGGCGCCCCCTAGAGGGGACAGGCCCCGTGTCCCATTCCCTGCCCCCTGAGCCAGCCAATCCCTGCCCTGGGGGCAGATGGGAGCCGGCGCCCCTAGAGGGGACAGGCCCCGTGTCCCATTCCCTGCCCCCTGAGCCAGCCAGTCCCTGCCCTGGGGCCAGATGGGAGCCGGCGCCCCCTAGAGGGGACAGGCCCCGTGTCCCATTCCCTGCCCCCCTGAGCCAGCCAGTCCCTGCCCTGGGGGCAGATGGGAGCCGGCGCCCCCTAGAGGGGACAGGCCCCGTGTCCCATTCCCTGCCCCCCTGAGCCAACCAATCCCTGCCCTGGGGGCAGATGGGAGCCGGCGCCCCCTAGAGGGGACAGGCCCCGTGTCCCATTCCCTGCCCCCCTGAGCCAGCCAATCCCTGCCCTGGGGGCAGATGGGAGCCGGCGCCCCCTAGAGGGGACAGGCCCCGTGTCCCATTCCCTGCCCCCCTGAGCCAGCCAGTCCCTGCCCTGGGGGCAGATGGGAGCCGGCGCCCCCTAGAGGGGACAGGCCCCGTGTCCCATTCCCTGCCCCCCTGAGCCAGCCAGTCCCTGCCCTGGGGGCAGATGGGAGCCGGCGCCCCCTAGAGGGGACAGGCCCCGTGTCCCATTCCCTGCCCCCCTGAGCCAGCCAGTCCCTGCCCTGGGGGCAGATGGGAGCCGGCGCCCCCTAGAGGGGACAGGCCCCGTGTCCCATTCCCTGCCCCCCTGAGCCAGCCAGTCCCTGCCCTGGGGGCAGATGGGAGCCGGCGCCCCCTAGAGGGGACAGGCCCCGTGTCCCATTCCCTGCCCCCCTGAGCCAGCCAGTCCCTGCCCTGGGGGCAGATGGGAGCCGGCGCCCCGTAGAGGGGACAGGCCCCGTGTCCCATTCTCTGCCCCCCTGAGCCAGCCAGTCCCTGCCCTGGGGGCAGATGGGAGCTGGTGCCCCCTAGAGGGGACAGGCCCTGTGTCCCATTCTCTGCCCCCCTGAGCCAGCCAATCCCCGCCCTGGGGGCAGATGGGAGCCGGCGCCCCCTAGAGGGGACAGGCCCCGTGTCCCATTCCCTGCCCCCCTGAGCCAACCAATCCCTGCCCTGGGGGCAGATGGGAGCGGCGCCCCCTAGAGGGACAGGCCCCGTGTCCCATTCCCTGCCCCCTGAGCCAGCCAATCCCTGCCCTGGGGGAGATGGGAGCGGCGCCCCCTAGAGGGACAGGCCCCAGTCCCATTCCCTGCCCCCTGAGCCAGCCAGTCCCTGCCCTGGGGGCAGATGGGAGCCGGCGCCCCCTAGAGGGGACAGGCCCCGTGTCCCATTCCCTGCCCCCCTGAGCCAGCCAGTCCCTGCCCTGGGGGCAGATGGGAGCCGGCGCCCCCTAGAGGGGACAGGCCCCGTGTCCCATTCTCTGCCCCCCTGAGCCAGCCAATCCCTGCCCTGGGGGCAGATGGGAGCCGGCGCCCCTAGAGGGGACAGGCCCCGTGTCCCATTCCCTGCCCCCCTGAGCCAGCCAATCCCTGCCCTGGGGGCAGATGGGAGCCGGCGCCCCTAGAGGGGACAGGCCCCGTGTCCCATTCCCTGCCCCCCTGAGCCAGCCAGTCCCTGCCCTGGGGGCAGATGGGAGCTGGTGCCCCCTAGAGGGGACAGGCCCCCTGCCCCACGACCCCCCCAGAGCTGGGACTCACCTTTTGCTCGTCTGGCACTTGGATTTTCCGCGCCTTTTTCATGATCGGCTGCGGTTTGAGCTCCTCATCTGAGAACCGGTGCTTCCGGGGGTCGAAGGTCTCATGCCCCGGGACGCTGGATAGTGCCAGATCCGCGGGGTCAGGATCAAAGTTCATCAGCACCTCCACTGCCTCGGGGTCCACCGGGCTGGGCGTGTGCCGGGAGGCGGGGGTCACCGGACCTGGGGACAGGATGGGACGGGGCCGGACAGGAAAAGGTCAGAGCAAGGGGCATTCCCACGTCGCACCATCAGATGGCAGCACCAAGCTATCCAGCTGTCCCCCCTGCCTAGCCCCCCCCACCCCAGCACAGCACCACCCCGGTGTAAGGGGCCCAGCGCTGACAGCCAGGGGAGAGCGCCCCCTGCTGAGCCCCCCCCAGCAGCTGGCATTTCCTAGGCGGGTGCCTCATGCAAGCCCTGACCTGCTGTGACCCTGCTTAGCAGGAGCTCTGCAGGGATCAGGCGTGGGGCAGCTGGGAGGGCACCCTCACCCTTCGGGGAGCTCTGGTGCCAGGAGGGGATTAGAGGCGGGTTTACAGCCAGCAGGACCTTGCTGCTCGCGGGGATCAGCCAGGTACTGGGCAGCCTGGCTGGGAGAGATCCCAGCGCCGCCCGGGACCCATAAACACCTGCCAGGGCGGTTCCCCTGGGAGGAAACTGCCACCCGCACGGTGCGGGGAAGGGACTTGGACAAAGTCACAGAACAGGAAATAGAACCCAGGAGTCCTGGCTCCCAGACCGGTCCCTGTATCTGTGTGTGCTTGTGTGTGGGGGGAGGGGGCTGGTATTCCTTTCCAAATGGGGGGGAGGGTGTTTGTGCACAGCAGGTGTAGGGTGCATACGGGGTGGGGGCTGCAGGCAGGATGCAGGCTGGGAAGCGGGGGAAGGAAAGCAGGCAGGAGGCAGGGTGCCAGGTGGGGGGGGGCAGGGAGATGCAGGGAGTGGGTGCAGGACAGGGTGTGGGGGCCAGGGATGAAGGTGGGAGCAGGGGGCAGAGAGGCGGTTGCTGGGCACAGGGTGGGGACTCTGGGCAGGGGAGCACAGAGCACGGGGTCACAGTGGTTTGGAGGGCAGAGGGACTGGGGCAGGAAGCATGTGGCAGGGGAATTGCGGGGCTGGGGGGGACAGGGAGCAAGGGGGGCGGGGTTGCAGGACCAGGGAGGGGTCCTGAAGTGAGCAAGGAGGGTTGCACGGCAAGAGGTTGGAGGTAGGGCGGTGCAAGGTCGGGGGGGCAGGGCTCGGGGGCAGGAGTGCAGGGCGGGGGGAGCAGGTTGCAGCGTGGGCAGGGGGGAGGTTGCAGGGCCAGAGCAGCAGGGAGTGAGTGGGGGGAAGAGAAGAAGATTGCAGGTGGGGGCAGGGAGCGAGTGGGGGCGTTGCAAGACTGGGGTGGTTGCAGAGCGGGGGGGGGGGGCGACGCGCGGGGGGAGGAAATTGCAGGGCCGGGGGGAGCAGGGAGCGAGCGCCGGGAAGAGGCTGGAGGGAGGGGGAAGCAGGGAGAGAGGGGGGCGGCAGGTTGCAAGGGTGGGGAAGGGGCAGGGCGGGGGGGGAAGCTTGCAGGGCAGGGAGCGAGCAGGGCGGGGGGACGTTGCAGGCAAGGCGGGAGGGGGGCAGGCCGGGGGGGCGCGGGGCGCCGCGCGGGGGGGGGTTTCAGGTCGGGGGGGGGCACGGGGGCGGGCAAGGTTGCAGGCCCGGCGAGGGGGGGCGCAGGGCGCCGCGCGGGGGAATCCCGTGTCTAATCCGCGGTCTCGTGTCCCCGCACGAACCCCCCCGCCCCGCGTCACGTTCCGCAGCCTCCGCCCCCGCGTGTGAGGGGCCGGGCGGGCGCACGTGGGCCGGAGTGTGAAGGGGGGGCGAGAGGGGGGATCCAGCTGGGGGGGCCCAGAGGAGAACACGGCGGGGTGGGAAGGGCCGGCGACATCCAGAGTCCAAGGGGGGGGGTAACCCCGTGGTGGCGGGATTCCCCGTTATGGGAGGGGTTGGGGGATAACTCAGTGGTGGGGGGATTCCCCGTTATGGGGGGGGGGATTGGGGGATAACTCAGTGGTGGGGGGATTCCCCGTTATGGGTAGGGGGGCTGGGGATTCCCTGGTATGGGAGCGTCCCTGGGAGCAATTCCCTGGCATGGGGCCATGTGCACGCTCCCTGGGAGGCTTGTGGGGCTGTAAGTGGGGCAGGCCCAGGGGTCTGCCCCCTCCACGTGTCAGAGACAGAGAGGCCATGACTCAGCAGAGACCCCACGCCCAGACACAGCCCCCCTAAGCTGCTGGGCCCCCTAGCTCCCCTGGGCACTGCCCCCCGCAGCTCCACCTCCCTGCTGCCCCCCCCCCATGCTCCCTTCCACCCTCCCAGCTCTGCTCCCTACTAGTGCCCCCTGGCCCCACTGCCCCCCGGCTACCTGCAGGGGCACAGCACTGGTCCCCGTCGCTGCTGCCCGGGCACTCGGCGGGCGAGGAGCAGGCAGAGGAGGTGCAGGAGGCCGGGCGGCTGAGGTCGACGGCGATGCCCCTGGAGGGCGAGCTGGTGGCCTGGCTGGCCGGGGAGAAGGGCGGCTGGGCCGGGCTGGGGGGGAGCCCGTTCTCCAGCAGGAACTCGTCCAGGTCCACGTACTCGATCTCGCTGTAGGGCAGGGTGCGCTCCCACAGCAGGGAGCCCAGGTAGGCACACTGTCCCGCCCGCGCGCCCCCCAGCTCTTCCTCCATCTTCCGCTCCTTCTCCTTGGCCAGGCCTGGAGGGGGAGAGAGGGGGGTCAGGACGCCTGGGTTCCATCCCTGGCTCTGGTTGAGGAGTGGGAGCGAGTGGTTAGAGCTTGGGGCGGGGGGGATCCAGGACTCCTGGATTCTCTCCCTGGCTCTGAGAGGGGAGTGGGGTCTACTGGTTAGAGCAAGGGGGTGGGGTGAAGGGGGGCTGGAAGTGTGCCCCTGCTGGCAGAGATGAGTCCTGCACTTTGTGTGTCTGCCGAAGGCCCTGCTGTGAGAGTCCACAGGGTGTTCAAATCCGTGTGAGTGTGGGAGCTGTGGGATTTCGCGGACGCGTTCCCAAGCGACCGAGTGTCGGCTCCCAGTGGCAGCCGGCCTGTGCTCACGTGGGGCGCTGGAAGTGCAATCCTGCACAGCTCGCTGGCTGCACGCACGGGGGAGAGCACAAGCAGGCGCACGTGTGGGGGGTGGGCTGGGGGTGTGAGCGGCAGGCACGGTGTGGCACCACACCCAGGAATGCGGGAGCAAGCGGCCGGGCGTGGGGAGGATGCCCTAGCGAGCGCGGGGGAGCGCCAGGGAACGGAGTCCGCGAGTGCGGGCCTGTCGTCGTGCCCACATGAGTGAGTGTGTGCACACGGGGGTGGGGGTGCGTGCCCCAGGAAGTGCACAAGTGCGTGGATCTGCGAGCACAAATGGGGGCAGGGGGCACGAGTCCCCAGCTGGGCGCGTTCGCCAGAGACCCAGGAGGAGAAACTGACTGGAGCCCAGCCGGGCCCCCCGCCCTGAGCATGGCAGAGCCCCCCAGAGCACCGAGACCCTGCGGGCGGGGGGTGTATTGAACTCAAGGAGCGAGATATCATGGTGAAGAGAGAGAAAGCCGAGTGAGACTGAGATAGGCAGAGTGGGGATGTGGGGACAGATGGGTGGGGTGGATGGACAGTCAGGGCCTGCACGGCGCCAGCCAGACACTGCCCTGTCCCCAGGCCCCAGCTGCTCCCCAGCCTCAGCCGCAGCCGGGCTGGCTCCCCGCACGTGCCGCCCGCCCGCTCCCTGCACACGTGAGGCCTGGCTCACCTCGGGCGACCCCGGCTCGGCTCACTGCAGCGTGCGCAGCTCAGGCTCTCCCCCCGCCCCCCTGTGTGTGGCCCAGCGGCTGCGGGTTCCAGGCTGGTGGGGGGAGCGGCCTGGCCCCCAGGGGAGGAGAGCCCCTTCTTCTCCTGCCTCCCACACGCAGCACTGTTGCACCAGAGCCTCAAAGTCACCCAGGGAGAGCCAGGGAGAGAACCCCGGAGTCCTGGCTCCTCGCGCCCCTGGCTCTAACCACTAGACCCCACTCCCCTCCCAGAGCCAGGGAGAGAACCTAGGAATCCTGGCTCCTCGCCCCCCTGGCTCTAACCACTAGACCCCACTCCCCTCCCAGAGCCAGGGAGAGAACCCCAGAGTCCTGGTTTCTCATGGTCAGCTGACTGCATCACAAGTCCTCCTGTGATCCCCGACTCCCCTGTCCCCCCAAAACACCTGGGGTTCAGTGTGTCTGGCTTTAGCCTCTGGCTTCAAAAGCAACCTCCCCCCCCCCCAACGCCTGGTGTCAAGGAGGGAAGGGATCAGGGAGCAAAGCATTCTGGGATGCCCCAAGAAGAGTGGGGAGCAGTGCAAAGGATTCTGGGATGCCCCAAGGAGACTGAGGAATGGCGCAAAGGGTTCTGGGAAGAAACGAGCGGGGAATGGAGCAAAGGCTGCTGGGACGCCCTGTGAAGACAGCGCTGACAAGCGGCTATGGGCCGGGTGGGCACCCCACATCTCCCAGCCCCGTCCAGCCTCGACTCCAGGCTGCCCCTCCCCCTGCCTGCCGACTGGCACGGGGCTGGAGCAGGCGGGATGCCCGGGCAACACCCCATTCCTGGGGCCTGACTCCCCGGCCCATGTGTGGAGGAAGCCAGGTGGCAGCCCCGGGTCACGCCCTGCGCTGAGTTTCTCCCATGCCCAGCGGGGCAGCGCCCCGAGAGCAGGGCTGAGTCACTGCCCAAGGGGCCCCCTCCCCTGGCACATATGGGAGGAGGGGCTGCTCATCCCTGGGGGGGGGCGCTTCCCCCGCACAAGCCTGCTAGTGCCCCTCAATCTCGGCCCGCAGCCCCCACGTCCCCACTCCTGCCGGTGCCCCTCACTCCCGACCCGCAGCCCCTGCTAGCCCAGCCCTGGGCTCCCCCCCCCAGCTCTGCCAATGCCCCTCACTCCTGACCTGGAGCAACTCGGGGCCTTCTTCAGGGAGTATGTGCCAGGGAGGCTGAGTTCGGGATGGAATGGGAGGGGGCTACCCTGTGGCTAGCGAGATCCTTGTCAGAGCTTCCCCACCGGGGGTGCCCCGGCTTGACCCCGGAGGCCACATCCTGGCCTGATGTGGGACTTGCCCATCTGTCAAAGCCGAACCCACCCCCTGCCCTGGGTCCACATGGGCGCAGGCGCTTGGCAGCTTTTTACCAACATTTCCTTAGGCAAAAAATAAAAAAAATAAAAAACATCCCTCAGTGCACGTTTCTCTGCCTCCTGTCACATCCCGTGTCCCGGCTGTGTGCTGGCTGTGGGGATTTAGAGCTCTCTGTGTGTGTGTGTGTCACGCAATTAGACAGTGAACCTGCACAGACCCTGCCCCCCAGACCTTCCCCAGCGCCTCGGGACTTTTCTGAACTTCCCAGTGGGAGCAGATGGGGCCGGTGGAAAACCAGGGCCATTCCTGCAAACACACAAACACAAATATACAGGAGGACGCACACACATGCTCTGCCTCGGTCCGGGCCTGTCACAAACACACAGATACACACACACACTCGGGTTCTGTCCGTCTGTTTCTCTCTCACAAAACCACACCAGTACACACACACTGTGCCTCTATCAGTCTGTCTGTCTCTCTCTCTCTCTCACACACACACACACACACACACACACTCTGCTTGTCTTACAACCACACATTAATACACACACACACAGCTTCTGTCTGTCCATCTCTTTCACACAGAAAAACACACACAAATACACACTAATAGACCCACACTGCCTCTGTCTGTCCTTCTCTCTCACACAAATACACATGTTCTCTGTCTGTCACAAACCCACATTAATAAACACACACACTTGCTCCACTTCTGTCTGTCTGTCTTGTACACAAAACCACACAAATACACACACACTCTGCCTCTGTCTCTCTCCCACTCACAAGTCAGTGCTCCTGGTGGCCCAGGAGTCCATGCCTGGGCCCAGCTGCAGCCAGGGCTGCTGCCCAGCGGGGTCCCCATGGCCAGGCCGGCCCAGAGGAATTTGGGGTCTGGGCACCTCGTGTTCACTGGGACCCCTCCCATTTCACTGCATTTACACAGACCTTTTGGGGGCCCCCTGAGCTTGGGTCCCGGTACAATTCCTCACACTTTTCCCTCCCTCTTGGCTGCCCCTTTCCAGCCCAGAGTGCAAATCCTGCCCCAGATGACAGCCAGCTGGGGGAGAGGGTGGGCACCACTGGACAGACAAATAAGGGCTGAAAGCAGCCAAGGGATGTGCTAGGCGGGCTGCTGAGGGGCACCAAGGGCTCTTTCCGGGGTGTATTTCCATATCAATATGACCGTGCTGGGCAGTTTGCCGACAGGGAGGGCAGGACGGATGGGAGGGCAGTATGGAGAGAGACTGCCAAGATTAGATAGGGGGGCTAGGGGAAGCGATGGATGGCGCGGTTCATGGTTGGAGAGATGACAAGGTTTGCATGGGGATGGATGGATGGGGGATTCCTATGGGGATGGACAGATGGATGGACAAACGGGTAGATGGATGGGTCGATGGTGGGGTTCCTATGAGAATGATGGATGGATGACAATTGAATGGATGGATGGGGGGTTCCTATGGAGATGGACAGATGGATGAACAAACGGGTAGATGGATGGATGGATGGATGGATGGGGGGTTCCTATGGGGATAGATGGGTGGCTGGCTGGGTGGCTGGTAGGGTTCCTATGGGGAGGGATGGATGGATGGACGGATGGATGGATGGGTTCCTATGGGGATCGATGGATGGATGGATTGTAGGGTTCCTATGGGGATGGACAGATGGATGAATGGATGGCAGGGTTCCTATGGGGATGGATGGATGGATGAATGGACAGCTGGATGGATGGTGGGGTTCCTATGGGGAAGGGGGGACAGACAGATGGCGGGGTGCACATAGGGCTGGCTGGCTGGCCGGTGGCGTAGGGATGGCGATCACCAGCCTGACGGACCCGCGCAGGACCGGACAGATGCACGGCCGCCAGGGCACTTACAGGTGGTCAGGTCCTTGGGCCTGCGCTCCGGGCTCTTGATGGGCCCCTGCAGGAGGCTCTTCAGGCTGACCATGCCGGCCCCGGGCACCCCCAGCGGTGGGGAGGAGAGCAAAGGGTTCGGCAGCCGCTCTGTGGCGCCCAGCTGGGCAGCTGGCCTGGCCATGGCCCGTCAGGGATCCCCGCTGTGCCCACAGGAGCTGGGGATCCCAAGGGCGAGGAGAGCTTCCCAGCTGATCCCTCGCAGCTGAAAGGATCTGGTCTGGCAACACGCTCCAGCAGATCCCTGCTGTGGAGACCCTGAGAAAAAAAATCCCAGCTCCCCAAAACAGCCGGCTCCCCCCTTAGCCGGGCAGCTCCCCGGCACCGACTTCTCTGCCGCAGCAAAAAAACTTCTCACGCCTGCCAGTGTCACAGTGGCCCGGGGGGCGGGGGGTCCGCAGGGCAGGAGCCAGAGATTCCTTCTTCCCCCCAGCACCCCGGCCTCTCCTGTTGGGAGCACCCCCAAGGTTTTGGGGTGCAGCGTTGCTGGGAAGTTTGGCCCCCCCGATCCCAGCTCAGCGGCCCCCCGATCTCCGCCAGCGCCTCGCAGCTGTCGGTGGCTGCTGGGTGGTTTTTTTTTTTAATCTCTTTTTTTGCCCGACTCCCTGCTTTGGGAAAACGGGGCGGGGCTTGAAGAAGTGGGCGGGGCCTGAACCCGAGCTGCCTCCGGCCGAGCCAATCGGCGGGCTGGGAATGTTTGCCAAGGCCCAGACTCGTGCGCCCGGCCCGGTCATGTGTCCGGGCCATGGGGGGGGGAGGCGATGGGCGGGGGGAGGGGAGCACTGACCTAGATTTGGCCAATAGGAAGCCGGAGGGTGGGAGGAGCCTGACCCACTTTTAGCCAATCGGGGAGGCGGCAGGGGGAGAGGCCTGGGGGGCTGGCAGCACATGGGGCGGCACGTGTCGGCGGGGGGGGAAGACAGAGCGGGTCGGCTGAGTTCTTAAAGGCACCGCGCCGGGGGGGGTGGGGAAGCAGAGCCCTGACCCCGCTGGGGGGGTACTAGAGTGTGTGGGGCAGGACCCCCCACCTGGCCACGGGGCACTCGCTATCACCTCACTGCTCCGTCAGGGCCCGCTGCTGATCCCAGAAGTCCCGGCTCCCCTCCGAGAGCCGGGGAGAGAACCCAGGAGTCCTGACTCCCAGCCCCACCCCCACCACTGGAGCCCCCTTCCCCTCCGCGGCCGGATTTCCCTCAGAGCGGGGCGCAGCGCCCCCCGGGGCTTTGGCCCTGCGCGACCGCACAGAGAGGGATGCAGGTTTTTGCAGCTGTTGCTCTGCCCCCCCCCCCCCCGGATTATTTACCCAGCTGCCTCTGGGGTGGGGCGCGGGACTGGGTATACGGGGACCCCTCGCCCTGCTCTGGGATGCGACCCCTTTGGGGTGGGGAAGGGGGCTGGGGGCGTGGGGACCCCTCACCCAGGACGGAGACCGACTCAGGGTTTTTGATCCTCTCTGTGGCTCTGTTCTGAGCAGGGGCTCCAGGGTTCTCATTCCAGCAGCCCCCCCAGGGACTTCCCACCTCTGCTGGGGCTATTTACAAATGAGGGGGCTGGGTACTTGTTTGGGGGAGCCCAGATCCTGGACTGGGGTAGGGCTGCTGTCACCCCAAGCCCCCCCCCCACTACATCCACAGCACAGGGCACCCTGTAACGGCATGAACTGGCCTCTGGGTACAGTTTAGGGGTTCCCAGCATCCTCCCCATTTACAGATCTTGGGGTAGAGGCCCTGTGTCTAATCCCCAAATGAAATTTGGGGTCCCATCCTTTGGTCTGGGACCAACTAAGGGGACTCCCTCTTCCAGGAGGTAGGGGAGGATTTGGGACGTGCGGAGCAGACAGCTAAGGGGTCCCCCAAATCCATCTAGATGGAATTCTTGGGGTATGGATCTCTCTCCCCAATCTTGGGGTGCAGCAATCTGGAGAGAGGGGCTGTCTGTGCAGGGCTGCAGGAATCTTGGGGTACAGCCCCTCAGAGGAGAGATTGAGGGGGCCTGCAGGGCATACCCCAAACTATCTCCACTCCCACCCCAAGTGATCCATCCATGGGAAATGTGGAATGCTGCAACTTTCTTGTGAAGAGGGATTCCCCTGAATGAGGGGGGAATGCCCCCAGCCCCGGCCCCCCATGGGTGGGGGTCCTGGAGCTTGGTCCGTGGGGAGGCTGGAGCTGTGGGACTGCTGACTGGTGTCCGGGGGGCCCTAGGTGCCAGCCACTGTAAGAGAAGGAGGAAAATGAGGGGGAGGGTTATGAAAAGACCCTCCCCCAATGCAACAGAACCCTCTTGGGCTGCTCCCTGCCGGAGACAGAGGGGAGTTGGTGCTGGGATTCAGACACTGGACACATTTGGGGACCCCCCACCCTCCAGCCAGGACTCCTGGGTTCTTTCTTGACTCTGGCAGGGGAGTGGGGTCTTGTGATGGGGGGCGCTGGGAGCCAGGACTCCTGGGTTCTCTCCAGGCTCTGGGAGGGGGAATGGGGCCCTGGGCCGGTGGCTCTGGGTGCTAACTCACCCAGAAGAGAGGACAGCTGGGGTCCGGCCCAGCCACGTGCGGACGCCCTAGACAAGATGCCTGAGAGAAAGGCTTTGCATGGGGGACCCATTGGGGCAAAGTGAATTAACAAAATGCCTCTGTGCAACCAGAGAGAAAAGGGGGGGAACCATGTGGGGGTGGTGGTGGTGGTGTGGGCCCCAAGTTGGGCTCTCTTATGGAGAAAACACCCTGCCAGCGTAAGCCTCTCGTGAGAAGTGGATCCTGGCTTTCCCATGGGACAAGCGCTGGATGGGCGGACCAACGGGGGAGAAAGGACCAGGAAAGGAAACTGGGAATAAATTCAGGCTCTAGACTGTGTTTATGACTCTAGCCAGTTTATTAACTGGTAATTACTACAGGTTCCCGACTGGTTATTAACTGGTAATAACTATGGGTTCTAGCCAGTTTAACTAGGAATAAGCGCGGACCCTACCCCATGGTTGATATTCTTCTTGTATGTGTTTCCAAGCCTTAAACTTGCTCCTGTTTGACTCTAGGTTTTGCTGCAGACATGACCCCGGGCCGGGTGCTTAGCAGAGGGCTGGACTGAGGGGACAGCGGTTAAGGGGGGCGGAGGAGCTCCCATGGAGACAGCCGATCTGAGCGCGAAGCGGGTCCCCAGCAGTTGAGGGGCTGGGCACAGACAGGCTGGAGGGGGTGGTGCCCCAGGGACAGAGCAGACCTCGGGGCGGTTGCAGGGCGGGTAACTATCTCCGTAGATTTAGCCTCAAATTAGCTCTGCCCCAAGGACCCGTCCAGGACCCTAAGGGCCAGCATAGGCAAACCCCAATGCCCCAGGCTGGGACAGGCTGGTGGGGCCCAGAGTGGGGCACTCGCATAGCCACCAGCCAGAAGGTTTGGCCGTTTCCCCCGGTGAGGACAGACAAGGTGGCCTGGTGCTGCTGATTCACCCTGAACCCCCGGAGAACCATGAAAGGGTCACAGTGGGGTATCAGGGTAGATGGGCTGTGGGGGCTGAGCTGGGGGACAGGGAGGGGGTGGGATACTGGGGTAGATGGGCCCCGGGGGCTGATCCGGGAGGCAGGCAGGAAGGGACGGGATGCCGGGGTAGATGGGCCCCGGGGCCTGTTCTGGGGGGAGGGCAGGAGGTGGGATACCGGGGTAGATGGGCCTGGGTGGCTGATCCGCAGGGTAGGCAGGAGGTGGGATACTGGGTAAATGGGCCCTGGGGGCTGATCCAGGGGCAGGGATGGGGGAAGGAGACTCCAGGCTGCAGCCCCTGCCAGAGATGGAAGGACGTTGGGTTAGTCACCCCAAGCCCCAGCTAACCCCCCCAACCCCTTACAGCGCTGGGAGGGGGAGGGCTGTGGGCAGGTGCTGGGGGCTCAGGCAGTTCGGGAGGGGGGCAGGGCTCTGATCCCAGATGGGGGAGGCAGGAATCGGGGGGAGGGGGCTGAGTGGGATGCTCTGTGGGTACCTGGGGGGGTGCCATGGGGCTGGGGGAGGGGAGCTGCTGGCAAGTCCTGGCACAAACCCTCTGTATGGGGCACAGTACCCACAAGGGGCCTCAGAGGCAGCCCCCCCCACACACACACTCCAGTCCCCTAAGCAGGGCTCAGTATCAGAGAACGCTTGTCCCGCCCCCTCCATTTCTGGAGCCGCTTCTCCCCCTGGTGGCCGGTTCCCTGCACGGTGGCCGCACCCTCTGGTGCTGGGGTTGTTTGTTAGTGACACGCCATGGCTCTGCAGGCCATATGGGGTTAATCCAGGGGAGGGGGGTTCAGCCCCGTCCCACAAAGAGGGAAACTGAGGCACGGACGCTGATAAGCCCAAATGGCTGTAGAGTGACAGAGGCCAGGAACAGAATCCAGGACTCCTGGGTTCTATCCCTGGCTCTGGGAGAGGGGATGGGGTCCAGTGGTTAGAGCAGGGTGGGGGTGGGAGGTGCACTCTTCAAGTGCCCACACACACGGATCTAGGGGTCCCTACAGACCGTAGCTGTCTGTAGGAGGGGGGGCGGTGACTCCTCAGGCCTCGTCCCATGGGAATCGGATGCCCACGTCCTGCATTTGCTCCTGGTAGAGCCGGTCAAATGCCTGGCTCTGCGCCACCGTGAAATGTCCCTTCCAGTCGCCCGGGACCCCTGTGGGAAGCAGAGAATGGAGGGGTTCAGGGAGTCTTCCCCAAGGGCCCCTGCTGGGAGAGGCCAGGCCGGGGTAGCTGGGAGCCCCCGCCCAGCCCCTCGCCCACCTTTCCTCAGGAAGGGGCTGATCCGTTGGTCCATGATGTTCTCCGGCACCAGGCTGTAGTTACACATCCTGTTCTGCTTCATGGCCTGGAAGGAGGCGTTCTCCACCACCCCGTCCAGCGCCCGCGCCTCCAGCGGCTTGCCCAGGAACTGGCAGATCCGCTCCACGCTGCCCCGCAGGTCCTGTCACAGGGCGGGACACTGGGGTGGATGGGCCCGGGGGGCTGATCTGGGGGCAGGGAGGGGGCAGGACACTGGGGTAGATGGGCCCGGGGGGCTGATCTGGGGGCAGGGAGGGGGTGGGATACCAGGGTGGATGGGCCCGGGGGGCTGATCTGGGGGCAGGGAGGGGGCAGGACACTGGGGTGGATGGGCCCGGGGGGCTGATCTGGGGGCAGGGGGGTGGGATACCAGGGTGGATGGGCCCAGGGGGCTGATCTGGGGGCAGGGAGGGGGCAGGACACTGGGGTGGATGGACCCGGGGGGCTGAACTGGGAGCAGGGAGGGGGCAGGACACTGGGGTGGATGGGCCTGGGGGGCTGATCTGGGGGCAGGGAGGGGGTGGGATACCAGGGTGGATGGGCCCGGGGGGCTGATCTGGGGGCAGGGAGGGGGTGGGATACCAGGGTGGATGGGCCCGGGGGGCTGATTTGGGGGCAGGGAGGGGGCAGGACACTGGGGTGGATGGGCCCGGGGGGCTGATCTGGGGGCAGGGAGGGGGTGGGATACCAGGGTGGATGGGCCCGGGGGGCTGATCTGGGGGCAGGGAGGGGGCAGGACACTGGGGTGGATGGGCCCGGGGGGCTGATCTGGGGGCAGGGAGGGGGTGGGATACCGGGGTAGACGGGCCCAGCTGGGCTCTGACTCAGGGAGCAGGGAGGGGGCAGGATACTGGGGTAGATGGGCCCAGGGGTGTGACCCAGGATGTGGGGTCGGGGTCTTTCCCTTTCTCTGTCTGGTGCTAGTCTCTCACCTGATGCATTTCCTCATAGGTCAGGAGGAGGAAGTTGAGCCGGTCCCTAAGGCCCAGCCAGCCCTTGACGTGCTGGAACCAGGAGCCAAACAGTACTGGAAGCAAGGCGGGATTAGGGAGGGAGGTAAAATGCCAACTCATGCATCAAAC